CTGCAGTCATACAGCACATGAATGAACGACCTGTCCCCTTCTGTCCTTCCACGGGAGACCGACTCCAGCACCGGGCCCCACAGGGCAGGTTCACACACGAGAGGGGGCCTTTCGGACGGTCTGCCTCGTCTGCGGCTTCAATTCGGACAAATTCAGACCTGTTCAATTTTCGGTGCCCGCTGGGTGTGAGGTTGCGGCACCAATTAAAAAACGAAAACGAAACCCAGACACGTATGCAAATACTGCTGAGGAAGATCAAGGGCTCTTCTGTGTGACTGAAGCAGAGACCTGGAATCGGATTACAGGGAAAGGCAGGACTGAGGCCACAACCGGTTTTGTGCTTATTTCGACCTTAGTGGAGATCAGGTTTCGCAAAGGCTCAGTCAGAAAGTCGCCTTTCACAACTCCACCCCGGCGAAAGAAAGAGCCGACCCGCCGTTGACATTAAAGGGGCGCGTCACCCGAAGCAATCAAGCGGCTTAATTGAGGAAGTGACGTGACTTAATTGGGGAAGTGACGTGTCCGCCGCGGCTTGAAAGGAGAGAGGGCGGGGTCGCGCGCGCTCTCGTTTGCTGCCCGCTGTGTCCGTCCCTTCGCGCGCCAAATGGACTTCTTGAGAAATGTGGTCACACTCGGTAAAACTGCCCATTTGTTGTTGTTGTTGTTGATTTTTAAATATGCGGTATAAGTTTTTTAAATGGGCGAACCCCTGTGTGTGTTAGTGCTGTATCCCAGCCCCAGGGGCGGCCGGGGCTTTAAGGAGGGCGGCTGTGTTCACTCCGCTGCTGTCGTGCAAGCGAGCGAGCGGGGCTGCGCTTTGAAAATGCGGGCCAAGCCGAACCCGAACCCGAACCCGAACCCGAGCCCCGGCGGTTCCTGACGCGCGCGCGCTCGTCTCGCCCCGCAGACTCCCCGGCCTCGCGCCTCCCGATGACCCGCGCGCACACCCTGGGGCCGTCGGCCGGCCGCCTCTTCCGCAGGAGACTGACCAAGGCCGACATCGGCCCGCCCACCGGCTTCCGGCAAGTGCGCCCGCCGCCGCCGCCGGCCGAGCTCCGGGTCGCCGTGTCCCACACCCCGCCGCCCCACGGCGCTGCTCATGCCTGTGCTTTTCCGCGCCAGCGTCCTTGCGAAAGGACCCCGTCTCCCCGCCTTGGGGTGAGGGGTGCGCGCTGCTGTCGGCTGGGGACGGAGGTCCTGACGGAACGTGTTGTCTCTGCAGGCACGTTGGACACGTCGGCTGGGACCCGGAGACGGGGTTCGATGTGAGTACTGGCGCCTCGCAGCGGTGAGGTCTAGCGGTGTCCGCCTGTAGACTGACCGTGCGCGGTCTGCGGCAGGGTTCTGCAACAAGTCTGTGGCGTTCTGATTCTCCTTCTGTGTGGAGTCTGCGCGGTGTTTTCTCCCAGCGCCGCGCCGGGCTGTCCGGAGTCCGGCAGGGCCTCGCTCCAGCTGACTGCCCCCTGTCCCGCCTCAGGTCGGTCACCTGGACCCGGCGCTGCAGAAGCTCTTCCTGAAGGCCGGGGTCAGCGAGCGGGACCTGCGGGACAGGCTCACCTCGCGCATCATCTACAGCGTCATCGAGCGGCGAGGGGGGCTGGAGGCGGTCCGGCAGGAGCTGCGCGGCAGAGGTGTGTCCCCGGGGGGGGGCTCCGTGTCCGGGCGCTCCTCGGAAACCGTCCCGCCGCCGGGTTCACCCCCAAGGGATCCTAAAGCGCCTCACGTGTGGGTGGGGTCCCCCTGCAGCCCCACTGCACACGGGCCGGGGAGAGAGCAGCTGCTGCTCCGGGTCAGTGGGCAGGGCCGGACGGTCCCGCAGCAGACTGGGCCGTTGGCAGAAGATGGTGTTACACTGCCGGCTCTGTTCTTGGGCACTGGATTCTAGTCCGGAGGGGGAGACCTGCTCTGGACTTGCTGGGCTCCCAAGCAGCGGCCCTGCGGTTTTGCCCAGGGGCCTCCAGTCCCAGGACCGACCCCGCCTTGCTGGGCGCCGCTGTGGCGAGGGTCTGGAGCCCGCCGTTGTATCGAAGAGCCGCGCGGGTCCAGGCCAGCGTCTCCGTCTGCCCCCCTGCCGCTGTAAGAGCCCCTCTCCTCCCCCCCCAGGTCCCCCCGCTGCGCCGGCGCCCAGGCTGGGCTGCGCCCGGGCCGCCACCCCGCTGACGCTGGTGAAGGGGCCCCTCCCGCCG